CGGCGTTTCGCGAATTAATTACGATATCGAAGAGAAGCCATTCGGCGGACAGCCTCGCGATCCCGTGAGCGGCGCGTCCGCCAGATTCCCTTCGATCGTTGGAAACTAAAACGTTCGATCATCGCGCGTGTTCCGTCCGCGAACGAACGCGGTTGCAATCCTAATTTTCAACGCCGTCGTTCGTTTCTACCGCCGCGAGTTTTTGGGACGTCCGTCTTCGCAACAAAGCCATCCGTCTTGCCGTTCGTTTCGATATCCGTTCGATTCGCTTTCCGCTGGCATGATCGAGACGTCGCTGTCGTTCGGTCTACCAGAGGACGATCCGTTCGGTTCCAGGAACGGAACGAAACGGAACGAAACGGAACGGAACAAAAAGAACGTTGGCCGCGAAGCGTTCCGTTCGACGATTACCGTCCTTTCAACTCGCAACGCTTTTGACGATTATCGCGGTTCCCGCTCGCAACGCTTCTACGTTTATCAGCGCGTCCTTCCCGTAACCCTTTGACGATTATCGCGCTCTCTACTCGCGCCGTTTCTACGCTTATCAACTCGCTCCTTTCCGCGTCTGCTTCTACCTTCGCGTTTCCAACTCTTTCACATTCGTCGCGGTCGCGGTCGCGTCGCCGAGATAATCATCGTCTTCTTCTCGTTCGCAACTTTTCTCCGAAACTCTCTCGCGACGATTCCACGCTGTTCGCGATAATCGCCGGCGAGCGGCGTTCCAGCTTCGCGCGACGAATCCGCAAAGTTCGTTCGGTCTTTCCGGCGATATGTTAACGCGAGGATCTTAAGAGATCCCGCAGAAGCGATTAATCGAGCTGAAACCGTAGGAACGACGGTGCCGCGGCCTTTGAAATATTCCTCGTTATTGTTCCGCGAACGGTGTACGTTCTTCCTTGCGCGCGGGTTGATCGTCGAACGATTAAACGGTGACGAGAAGAAACGGCGAACGAATCGCGGGCCGCGTCGCAAATCCTGTGGAAACCGATTTGTCCCCTAAAAGGGACGCTCGTTGAACGATCCTCGGAGCGTCTGGCTGCGTAAAGATACGATTCACACTTGGAACGGATGCGGGACCCGCAGGGATTCCATCGTTTTCAGCTCGTTTGCCGTGTTCCCGCCTCGACGGTCGACGAAGCTCGTCGGTGCTCGGGTCAACGATTTCGGTAAATTAATGCCGACGGTGTCGCCGCGGTCGTGCCGAGCCATTCCGGCGAAAGAGCTTCTACCGAAGGACCGTTCTTTGATCGTTCCGCTTCTCGCGATCGGCCAAACATTCGCCACCGAACTTTTCGGACCTCTCGCAACGATCTCGCTGCTCTCTCGGTTATTTCGGACAACCGTGCCGACACCAAACTCCTCTTGGCACCCGCTCGCTTGGGTGACGCTCGTCTCGACGAAACGCGTTTGTCCGAACAAACTTTCTCGCCGATTCGAACGATCTTTTCCTGGCAGAAATCACGATTCGTCTCTTCGGAGAACGTTCTTCGTTCGCTCCGCGTTCCGCTGAAATACGTTTCGTCGATCGAGCAATCCGCCGAACTCGTCGGAGAAATGTGTCTCGATTAGGATTACAGTTCACGCGGACCTCGTGCTACTTCGCCGTTTCCGATCGTTTGGGCAATCTCGAGTCCAGGAGGGACAATTTTTCCAGATGCCAAGGTCGCAACAACGGCGGCCAATTAATCAACCATGTCGCGCCGGAATTAGCCGTTTCCTGCGCCGTTCGGAATAATGTTACGATTCGGACAGTTCGCGGTGCCATTGTTGCCGCCTAGCATACAATGTAGCCGTCGGGACAAACGCATGGCACAATGGTAACGTCCGTAGATCGATGATTTCGCTTAGCCGGTAATGAGCGGACAATTACCTCCTGCGAACTGCCAACCTATGCACTGCCGAAATTACTCTGGAATTAATATCTTGACGCTGTCTCTATCGTCGCGCGTAGAATTTGATGTTCCTTGCTGGAACGTTGTTCCTTCGATTCGACGTTCCACGAGGAACGAGAACTCGCGTGCACCGTTCGCTTCCAAGGGCAGCTTCCTTTTCCGACCATATTCTCGACTCGAATATATCTCGCGTCCTTATTCATCGTTGCGATCGGTCACGGTGCTGGATCGAATCTTGATCGATTTACGGCAACGTATCGCGCCGTCGCACGCGGATTGCCGCAGATGGAATCGTGATTGGCCCGACAGGTTCGGGGATCAGACATCGGAGACAATTCCGAACGAGTTTTAAGAGCCGACAGGGAGAGGAACGAGCAGCACGGGAATCGTCTCGCGGAAATTTCTGATGCGTCGAGCGGAATCCCCTTTGGATTACCCGGCCTGGTTACAACCCGAACCGGGGGTGGCGGCTGGAGGATGGCATAGGAGGGTTGGCTCGGCGCAGGGAAGGGAGGAAAACGCGGGGCGCTTTCCAGAGGAAATTGTGGTTCCGCGAATGCCGTTTGGATTACGGAAGAGCGTCCAACCGATGGCTGATTTCGGCGCCGAGCATTGCGGAGCGCGGTTCCGAGCGAGTTTCGAGCCAGTTCGAAACGGGTTCGTTCGTTCGCACGCTCTCTCTCTCTCTCTCTCTTTGGCATTCCGTCTCGTTTGAACGGCCGCTCGGAACGAAGGAGAGACCGCCGCCCTCGAGGCTCGGATGGAACTCTTTAGCGGCGCGGCATGGCGGCGATGGCCCTCTTCGAACTCCGCGATTAATCTCTCTTAACCGGCGCAGCGTTGCCCGTTAGTTGAATATCGGCGAATTAAACGGGGATCGTTCGCGGTCTACCTTGGCTCGCGATACTCCGCGGGATCCGCGGGGAGGACTGCCGGTCGAGTGCCGTGTCTGCGATCGCTGCGCGATTTCTCCGCGGAGCGGATGGATCGGCGTTCGAGTGGCTGGATATTGCGCGAACCGGGATTTTCCCCAGGAATGTTTCGTCGATCCGCCGCCTTATCGGAAATCATTTGTGCCCGATAATCGTTTCCGCGAAACGCCGCGGAGCAGTAATTCTCGCGGCAAGGTGCTCCGTCTCTCCGCCGTGGCTACACTTATATTTGTCCATCGACGCGGCTCCCGACGCGCGTCGTCCTCGGTGCAATCAAAATCGGAGAATCGCGTCCCCGTGCATGCTTTCATCTTACGAAACCACCCTCTCGGCTGAGACGTTCGTCTGGCTTTGTGCTTGGCAAAACCCAACACGTTCCACTCCGTCTTTCACTCTAAGACGTTGATCGCGCGCGCTCCCAGCTCGAGCCGCTCGACATTCATCGCGCTCTCGGCTCGCGGCTCCGAGACGTTCGTCGCTCTTTCCGCTCGCTTAAGGATGAAATCAAGGCCCCGGAGAGCCCTCGACGCTCCCCGGAAACCCATCCGAGCCCATCCGAGCCCATCCGAGCCCATCCGAGCCCATCCGAGCCCATCCGCCGAATGCTACCGGGTGTTATCGCGAAATTTCTGATGCACCCGGCGAGAATCCCTCGAGGATTACCCGGCCGGCCTGGTTATGGAAGGCGCGCCTAGAGCAGGCTGCGGTCGAAACGGTCGATAACGGAATAACGATTGACCGGAGGACGGCCGAAAGTTACTCTCCCGCGATGTCGTTCGAAATTTTCATATCGAGACGAACCAGCGAGGAGACGCGAGCGACGAGCGACGTCGAACAACGGAGCAAAGGTATCGCCCGATCGATGCCAGGCACAAGCGATACGGGAATCACGATAGAATACTTTTAAGTGACTCTGAAAACGGTGCAGCATCGATTCGAAAGAGATTCGACGAACCGATAAGGATAGCGAGGGGCGCCACGGGGAGCGAAGATTCGTCTGCTCGCCTAATTCTCTGCGGATTCGTCGCGCCGCGTCCCGTCGCGCTTCATCGATTCCGTTTCATCTCGGAAGCATCTCGGATCGTCTGTCAGCCGAATCCGTTTGCAGGATTTTATCTGGTTCCCGTTCAATTTCTTCGTACACGTCCGGGCCACTTTTATCCCGAACGTAACCAACTTTATATTCTCTTTGTCCGTGCCCTCCCCGCTCCACCCCATCCCCGACCGGGGGTGTTTCCGGATGCGATTCCGAGCCGAGGCACCGCCATATTCCGGTGAAACTGGCGTTGCACCTCCTTCTCTCCCTTTCCTTCTCCTTGTTCCACGTTATCGGCGTCGCGCCGTATCCCTGATCGGGGACGGTAATATCCGCTTGAGGGATCACCGAGGAAATACAGGCTGCTCCTTGTTTCTCGTTCGTCCGCGAAGACGTGTCCGATTCTACTTTCGATCGAATATTCCTTCTACCGCCGTCGTCGTCGCCGCTCTATCGGCCATTTGGCTCCGAAACAGGGTCGAAAGCCCTTCCACCGAAGCGATCCTTGGCCATCGAAACGTTCCCGAACCGAACGTCTCGGTACGTTGGAAAAATTACCGTTCGATTTCTGCATCGAAAGCCTGATCACGGGACATAGAAGCGTCGAGGAAACTTATACAACTCGTTCGGCGATAGCTCTCGGGGGAATACCGATCGTTTCGCGCGATGCTTAATCACCGGCTGTTGTTCTTCGGTTAACACGTGACCGAGTCGAATTAAAATGCGCGCGAAGATGTTGCAGAATTCGATCGTCGATTACATTGTGCCGCGATCGAGTCGGTTCGGCCAGGGAATTCCAGGGATTTAACGCGTCAACAAGAGAACGCGACGGAATATCGTAACAGACGCCGTCAAAGGTCAACAGATAGGCGTCATCCGACGCAGAGGATCAATGGTCCAAAAAGCTCCGCGAAGCGTGCTATCGAAAACTACTCTGCTCGAATGCAATTACACGTGGTCGAACCGGCTCGGGAAAGTTTGCGAAAACATTGCGTAACGTTATCCAGAAGACAATGATATCTGCGTGCCGGCGCCCGCTCGCGATCGACCGGCTGCGAAAGGTCGGCGTTTAATGAAATCTGGAGGAGGAGGTCAAGGGTGAATATAAATGGCAGAAGTGTAACGGATCGCGCTCGTCGCAACCGACGTCCGTAGTTCAGTCTCGAGCGTCTCGATGCGGATCGCGTTCGATGCTTCCGTTGCACGTTCGACGAGTCCGAGATAATTAATCGGCGAGGATCGGAGACCGTTCCGACAGCCGGCAATCGCGAACGTTCGAACGACGAAACACGCGCGATCGACGACTCGACAAACGATTCGGACAATCGAGGTGACAGAAGAAACCGGAAATGAAGAGCGTCTCGTCGCCGTTCGTCGCTCTCGCGATCACGGCGCATTTCGTTTTCGGGTTCCAAGACGTCGCGGCGTTCGACGAGGAAGACGTAAAGAATTTAGAGTTCGCCAAGGCAAACAATCGGAGCGTCACTCTCGGAGGTGAATATTATTCTTGTTTCGAGAATCGGTCATTTCTCTCGCGCAACGTTCTCGATTAGACTTTGCGTGCAAAGTTTTTCGCGGTGCAAAAACTCCGAATATCGGCGCGATTAGAACTGTAGGACGCTCTCGGTTGCAGAATGCACGGCCGAAAAAGTCACGCTGAACGGCGGAAACAATTATCACGCCACACAACAGGTGTTTTATATTAACGCGAACCCGCAGACGGTATTCCAAGGACCGAGGGGCTATTGCGTGACCACTTTGGACAGGAACGATTATATTCCGAGACCGAGAATAGGGGCCCAGAAGCTTTTCAAGCACAAGGTCGTGTGGAACGAAGCTCGAGAGATCTGCATGGCGGAAGGAGGTAATTGAACGAATCTTTTCCGCTCGCGAGAGCTTCGCGTCTCGCGCCTCGCGTCTCGCGTCTCGCGCCTCGCGTCTCGGAAGCTCGATCGTCGGTGAACTTGCTCGACGGAATCGAGTTTATCGGGAACGGCCGGGTCACCGTTTAACGCCGATATCGAAACAATTAGATAGCCGAATATCGCTTATATCGCGCGAACGCGAAACGTGTTATCGAGCGAAGACGAAAAAGTGTCGCGAGCCGATTCTTGTTTTCGATCGAAATTGCGAAAGCGGGGGACGAGAGATGAACGAGGACGATCGTCTTGCAGGCCAGTTAGCCGTGATAGACTCGGCGGAGAAAGAGGCGGTGTTTCGAAACTGGATGACCAACGAGACGATCGACGGCATCTGGATAGGCATTCACGATTTCTTCGAGCAAGGGTCGTGGCTCGATCTGGCCGGCGAACGGATCGCCTCGACGAGCTATTATCCGTGGGCCAAGCACCAGCCGAGCAGCGAGGACAATCATCGCTGCGGCATTCTCTGGCGAACGCGAACGACCGCAGGAATCAGCAACGCCCGGTGCGATATCAGGGAGTCGTTCATCTGCGAGATCAGCTTGTGCGATACTTCGAGGCTCGTCGGTTCGCTCGAAAAATATACGACGCTGTCGTAAGGCGGAACAACGATTACAGCAACGTCTCTCTAATCGACGCACAGATTGTCCAGAAAAATGGACAATTTAGGGAGAAGAGAGACGATTGTTCGATCCTTGCGGTTATATCACGAATCGTCAACAACTATAAAAACGAGTCGCAAGAATAATGGCATCTCCTCTTGCCGAATCGTCCATTTGTCTGCACAGTCTGAGCGTCGGTTAGGGAGACGTTACTGTATACTTTTCGATTATTTATTACAACGGCGTGCTCGCGATCGAGCGTACGCGATAAGATCCTGTAGATTACTCTGTATTTCATGTAGCAAAACCGTTGCGATCCCGTTCGCGTCTCTTTCGTTCGAGCGGGCACCGTTTTCGCGAACGTTGTAGCTCTTATGGAGTTTGTAAAACCCGCGCGAGAGTGTTCCGAGTGGGTTGCGCACGTTTTCGCGATGAAAACGAGCACCGACGCGACCCCGTTCGGATCGGGTCGAATCGCTGGTGCATCGGTCGATGCACTTCCGTACTCGAAAAAGTAATACGTTCGTTGGGCTAGAAAGACCCGAGGAAGAGCGGTGCTCGAGCTCTTCCAGTCTTTTTTCGGGGGGGACTTTGAAGATACAGCGCTTTAAACATTTTTCTTATCTTTCATCGTTCCCTATATCGTTCTCCTTCCGCAATAAAAATTATCTGGGATCGTTCTCCGTCGCAATTACAATCGCTCCCTGTGGCCAGGATTAACGATGCCATTATGCAGACGGTGTTTCCCTTATCTTTTATCGCTCCCTATCGTTTTTCTTCCGTAATCAAAATATTATCCGTTCGCCGTTGCGTTTACGATCGCGCGTTCGAATTAGCCTGCCTCGTTTAACGGCCAGTTTCAGTGGCTCGTTAATTCGGAAGGAAAAACGATATAAGAAGCCGCGCGAGAAATCTAACAGTGCAACAACAGTCGGTGTCGCGATCGACGCGCGTCCGCCGAATTCGATTCAACGGGAACGTTTAACCGAGCCGACGGAAGAATCTCGCGGACTTCGTCTTATCGTCCGCGGAAGATGCAGAAGTTCTCGCTGCCGTTCCTGGCTTTTGCCATCGTCGTCGCGTTCTTCCCGTCCGCCGAGGCCGACGGTTCGGTAAGGGGCGGCGAGTGTTCCAAGAGGAAAGGTGATTACAATGTTACGGTCGTTTCGCGAACGTTGCCGGTCGATCGGGGATTCGGGATACTCACCTTGGTAGCTCTCGATTTCTAGTATGTTCGTTGTCGGACGTCAGCTTGGACGACGACGAGCTCGGCAAGCGAATGTACGTGATCTCCACGTCCGTGAAAAACGCCGGCAAAATCTCGTGCGCACCCTCTTTGAAGAGGAACGATTACGTTGTCACGCGAGGCTTGGGCGCCCACAAGCTGCAGAGGGACAAGGTGTCCTGGAACGAAGCGCGAAAGGCTTGCATGATGGAAGGAGGTACGACGCGCCGAGGTCGCGCGCAACGGCATGCGTTTTTTTTCGAATCGGGGAAACGGGGTAAAAAGAACGTTTGCGTTTCCAGCTAACTTGGCCCTGTTAGATTCCGCGGAAAAAGAAGCCCTGTTCAGAGGCTGGATGGACAAAGAGTCGTTGGCGGGTCTCTGGTTAGGCTTCCACGATCTGTACGAGGAAGGCTCCTGGACCACCGTGACCGGCGAGATGGTCGACGGGTTCGCCTATTACCCGTGGGCCAAGGGCGAGCCCGACAATTGGAACAGACAGGAACATTGCGCCATCCTCTGGGCGCCGCGTATCAACGAATTCGGGGCGGACGACTACACGTGCAATCACAAGGCCGCGTTCGTCTGCGAAATCAATTTGTGCGATTCCTTGGGCCCCCTTGGCCTTTCCGCCGCTAATTCGACCCTGCCGTCAAGGCCCGATTCGCATTTAAGCGTGCCTCGCGATCCCACGAGTCCCGATACCGACGATGATAATTCGTTCGGGTAAGAATTTTCGAGCCGCGTCAAGATTTTATGCACTCGGTATCAATTTTCGATAATCATACTTCAGGAATCGATGCTTACTTTGATACTTCAGAGATGGTACATCGATACCTCTGTAATACCTTACGGAGACATCGATGCCCGTTCGATAGCTCTGCGTAAGCATCGATACAGTAACGTCTCCCTAACCGACGCTCGGATTGTGCAGAAAAATGGACAATTTCGGAAGAGGAGATACGATTATTCGAGCCCTGCGACTCGTTCTTATAGTCGTTGATATTTCGTAACTATAAAAACGAACCCCGCAAGGCTCGAACAATCGTATCTCCTCCTCCCAAATTGTCCAGTTCTGCGGACAATCCGAGCGTCGATTAGAGAGACGTTACTGTACCTGTATTTGTGTGATACCTTACAAAAAGTATCGATACCAGTTTCAGAGACTTTTCCGAGAATTTCGATATCCGTTTCGCATCTTTCGAGATGTTCGATACCTATTTGACGTTTCGTTAAAACCATCTATATTTATCTGATATTCAAAGTTATTCAAATAATAACAGCAATAACGTTAAACTGGTGTAATCGTTTTCATTCTTCGCGTTCGCCGGCCGTGCTCGTAGCATCGCCAGCGATTACCGCAACGATTTCGCACTCTATCCTCTATTTTACAGATTCGCCGTGTAAACGATTCGATATCGTCGTAGATACGACGACTAAAAAGTTGTGAGATTGCAATCGGTTGCAACACCGTTTTAAGAGGCGCGCTCGAATGCTATCGCGACTCGCGGTACGTTCTTTTCGCGTCGCAGACGGAATCGGAGGCTATGAAAAAATTACGCTACGTCCAAAGACGGTACTCGAATCGAAGAGGCCTCCTATCTTTCCTCGTCGTATCGTTCTCCGATCGAAGCTATCCGCCTTTTTCGTTCGCAATCACGCGGAATCGACGATTACCCGTTTCTATAAATGCGTCGTCGATTCGAGAACAAGAAGTATAAGAGAGCGTCTTCGCCCAGCGGCGATTAGTTCGTTTCGAAATCAAGATCCAAATCGATAGGACCACGATCGAACAGATTAGATCGCGGCTCGTCGCATCGCGCGGTCAAAATGCGGAAGCTTTCGCAGTCGTTCCTGGCTTTGGCCGTCGTCGTACTTTTTCTCGGGGAATTCCCGCGCGGCGAGGCGAACGGCGCGGAAATCTTAGGATCGTCCAAGGACGCGAGAACCGAAGGTGAATATTATACTCGTTTCTAGAATCGCTTTGTTATCGGTCGATCATCCTCGATAGCCGAGACCGACGAGTCCGGAGAACCCAGCCACGAAGCCTGTCGTTGTCCCGCTTCCGAAAACGACGATTACGTTGTTACGAAGGGCGCGGAATCTTTCGAGTATCGTAAACTTCCGATGCCCGGGGACGAATCGCAAAAGTCTGGCGCGATCGACGAAGGTATGACGTGGCCGTGTTGCTAATCGAGGGAAGAAAGTAAAGGGCGTTCGTCTCGCAGGTCGGGTGGCTGTGTTAAACTCCACGGAGACGGAAGCCCTCTTCAAAAGCTGGTTGACCAGAAAAAAGACCTGTCTGCATCTCATCACGATCTGTTGGAAAAAATGATGATCGCCAGCCACGACGAACAGAGCACTCTGGAAACCCCTCCGGTGGACCCTCCAAGTGCAGTAGCACGAAATAAATAATAATAATTTCTTTCGTTTCTATTCAAAATAAAATCGACGATAAATAACAACGATAAAGATACAATTTTTTGGGTGCGTCGTCCGTGAAATCGCGCTCCAATAAATAATATACGGCGCATTATGGATTTTCCGCATTTCGTTCTTCCACGATTAGAATTATTTACGTGATTTCCCCGCGACGCACGGGAGGTCGGCCGCGCGTCAAAGGTCGACGTCGCGACGACTTATAGCGCGTAATTTTTAAGCGGAATTATCAATTCCCGGAGAACGAGAGAGATTCGTGCTCGAAGAGAAACATCGACGGTAGAACTATAAAAACAGCGCGCGGCTGCTATCGAACTCGTCAACCGGTTCAGTTCGAGATCTGGCATCGCGGTCGACGCGTCCGTCATCCGAGAAAATTAGTCGACGATCGGCGAGAATCGAGCTAGTCATTCCGAGATAAAGAAGCGTTCGGATTGTCAACATGCAGAAGTTTCCGCTGCTCGCGTTCACCATTGGCGCGTTTTTCGTCGCGCAGTTCCCGAGCGGTCGGAGCGGCGAAAGATTTCTTTTACCAGGTTTATTAGAATTGCCCAAGAACAACAACAACAACACGGAAAACACAGGTGAATATTACAACTCCGATCGGGAATCGGCGGAACGCGCGAATCGTCGCGAGATTCTTATCGGGAAGCTCCGAATTCCAGACGATCCGCAGTCGTGTCGACTCGCCATGGCCAAGACCAGCTGCGCGACCTCTTTGGATAGGTGCGATTACGCGATCACGCCGGGCATAGGAGCCCACAAGCTCCATAAACGCAAGATGACGTGGAACGAAGCTCGAAAGATCTGCATAATGGAAGGAGGTACGCCGAGATCGCCGCCGGGTTCGCGGATAAGGGAGGAAAATAAGGGACGGTTTGTCTTGCAGGTCACTTGCCCCTGTTAAATTCCGCGAAGAAGGAAGCCCTGTTCAAAAGCTTGATGGCTAAGAACTCGTTGAATGCCGTCTGGATAGGTTTTCACGATCTGTTCGAGGAAGGCTCCTGGACCACCGTGACGGGCGAATTGGTGGACACGATGAGCTATCATCCGTGGGCCAACGACGAGCCAGACAATTGGAACAACGAACAACACTGCGGGATCCTCTGGGAAAAGTTCAAGGACGGCGGGGTCGACGATTACAAATGCAGCAACACGGTCCCGTTTATCTGCGAAATCGATTTGTGTCCTCCTTCGAATCCCCTCATTTTTCCCAACGAAGGCGCGGTAGAGCTGCATTAACGAGACGCGTTTAAAGCACGATCGCGTTCGTTTTGTAATAAAGATAGTATTTTTCTAATAAAAATAGGTAGTAATAAAAATATTCAGACGCGATAGCGATGTTTCGTTCGTCTGCGAAATCGACTCGTGCATTTGTTGGAAGAAGTTCCTCCCATACTGTTCCCAATAAAAAGTCGTCGAAACGGCATCGATAAGAAGTCGCCTTTGAAGCACGACTATCGTACTGTACCCAGTATCTTCGCGATACTTCCGATTCCCATTCTTTAACGTGTATTTCGAATAAACGTTCTTCGGCGCGATGATAATAACAAGCTCGCTGCATTCGCGCAGGAGGATTTCAAGGTTATGTTAACCGAACTGCGCGTATTCTAACGAAGAGAACGAGTGCCAACACGACCGCATCCGCGGCGCTTTTCGATCTCGAGCGCATCGATCGAAGCGCTTTTTTACTTGACGCGATCGCGCGATCGAACGACAAAGACGCCCGAACGGGGCCGTGTCGGGACTCGTTTTTCTCAGGAGGAGCTTGCGATTCCGTTGGTAATGGTCTTGCGGAGCTACGGCCGAGATCGATCAATAACGATCGAGACGCGATCTCGAGGTCGCGGAGAAGAGATCGGCGATATCGTAGCGCCGGTCGCGCGACTCGGCGAGATTTTCTCGCGTTGTCGATCACGCCGATTCCCGACCTCCGATCGACGCCGTTTCGTTGTTCGTCGAACGAACCGCGCGAAGGTTACGCGGTAATCGCCCGGGGAATTTCAGTTCGCGCGGAGCGTCGGTCGAAGGATAACAGGAAAAATTCGCGTCGCGAACGATGCAGAAGAGGCGCCGACGAAATGCAGTGGAGGGGTATGGCGAACGACGGGGACACGGATGCACGGAGGAAGGACGCCGATGGAAAGAGAGGAGCCGGGCGTTCGCTGCGAGCGCTCGGCTCGGCTCCGCTCGGCTCAGTCGGGCCTCGTGTACCACGCGCGTTGCATCCGTCGCGAAAATTAGTCGGCGAGAGAGTCGAAAGCCGTCGTACGCGTCGAAGCACGCCCCGATGGTGTCGCGAACTGTGGCCAATTGATCCGATTGGCCGATTGAACGTCGACAGCGTAAACGCGACGCGGAAAGACAGCGGTGCGACCACAGGCTTCTTTCGAATTATTCCTTCCTTCGAGATCGAATTATTCCAAGAGTCGTTCGATCGTCCCGCGCCGCAGAAATGTGCGACTACTCGTCGATCGCCGTGCTCGTTTTCGCGTCCTTCGCGAGCATCCTCGCCGAAGGGGAAACGATCGGCGACGCGACGTTCGAATCGTTGTTGAGATATCCGAGGGCTTTAAACCTGAGCAGCCGGAATCAAGGTGATCGTCGTTCTCGTTCCGAGATCCGCGCGGTTCGTCGAGATGGAGCGCAACAAACGTTCGAATCCGATGACCGAGAATCGGAACGTTCACGACGATAACGGAGGGCACCGATGTCTCATTGGTGAATCGTTTGTCTTCAGGTTCGCCGCAGCTAGTCAATATGAACGGCAATTTCAATTATCAAGCCGCGCAACAGGTGTTTTTTGTAACCGGGGCATCGCTGGCGCGCGATTTGTTGTCGAGCAAAGGGCCGAAGGGCTGCGCGACCTTCCTCGACAGGGACGATTACGTTATGAAACCGGGCATAGGAGCGTACAAGCTGCACAGGCGCAAGATCCGGTGGAACCACGCTCGGAAGTCTTGCGTCGACGAAGGAGGTAAAACGCGCGAGTTTCTCGAATGCGAGAAGAAACTCTCGCGCGACCGGTTTTTAGCAGCCGCCGGAATAAACGAGGATTGTCCCCTAGGTAATTTGGCGGTGTTGAACAACGCGGAGGAGGAGAAATTCCTCGCGGAGTGGCTGCGGAGAGAGAGCGTCGACCGTGCCTTCTTGGGTGTCCACGATCAGTTCGAGGAGGGCGATTGGGTGACGTACACCGGGGAGTCGCTCGACAGCGTCGGCTTCGAGAAATGGGCCACCGAGCCGTTCCCGAATCAGCCGGATAATTACGGCGGCGAGCAGAACTGCGGGGTCCTCAACAAGGAAGGCGGAATGGACGACGTCCAGTGCTTCCACCTGCATCCCTATTTATGCGAGATCACCTTCTGCTAAACGTCTCCGTTTCGCCGCCGATAAACGATCGTCGAGTCTCGAACGATCGTATCGTTCGTCGTGGAAGATCGCGACACGATTACAGCAATGTCTCTCCAATCGACGCTCGGATTGTCCACGCAACTGGACAATTTCGGAAGAGGAGTTCGAGCTTCGCGACTCGTTTTCGTGGTTGTTGACAGTCGCTAACTAAAAAATCGTGCCGCGAGCCTCGGATAATCGTGTCTCCTGTTCTCAAACTGTCTCTTTTCGTTTCGAAGCCGAGCGTCGATTAGGGAGAATTCATTGTACTTCGAAGTCTTCCATCGTTTCGACCGAAACAAGTTCCTACAGAGAGTCGCCGCGTCGTCGCGCGACGAAACGGGTTCCGCTTTCGTCGAACTTCGTTTTAATCTCGAGAGGATTTCGCGATATTCGCTGACAGCGGAGCGGCGCCAAGATCCAGCGAATCGATGCGCGAGAAAACCGGGTCCCGTGTATCTCGAAACGCGATCCGAAGGTCGCGAAGAAGAGACAGCGGCGCGTCGAAGCGAAGGTCGCGTGAGTCATTCGATTATTCTCGCGCTATCGACGACGATGACTCCGAGCTCCGTCTTTTTTTCTTTCATCTTCTTTTTGCACCGCGCGACGGCGAGAGAGAGAGAGAGAGAGAGAGAGAGAGAGAGAGAGAGAGCCCGTTGCCCGTCGAGCGAACCCGATCCACGAAAAATAATCTCGTCGCGGCCAGACAATTCGCAGGCCGCGCCGCGATCGTGCCGGGAATTCCAGTTTGTCCGGAGTTGCTGGCCGACCGGCAAGAGAAAAAAGCGTGCTGCGAGCATCGCGGTTGGCTCGGCGGCTCGCGAGGGGATACGGAGGAAGGACGCCGACGGCAAGAGAGGAGCCACGCGCTCGCGACGAGCGCGCTCAGTTCTGCCTCGTGTACCACGGCCGTAGCGTCCGTCGCGAAAATTAACCTGCGACCGGCAACGATCGGAGACCGTTGTTCTTACGTGTCGGATCTTTTCCGACGGTGTCGCGAGTCGTCGCCGTTCGATCCGTTGGTTACCGTGGCGGCCGCGTCCCGGAAAGGGTAGAGTGCGTTTGGACGGAAGGGCTCTCCTCTCCCGAGGAACCCGCCCAGATAGTTGACAAAGGCTTCGGCGAGCTCTGGGTAGAATCGATCGGGCACGAAGAGAAAATCGTTCGCTGCGTCGCACCCATCGTCGCAGAAATGCGCGCCCACTCGTCGATCGCCGTACTCGTTTCCGCGGCCTTTTGCGCCCTGGCCACCCTGGCTCGAGGACAAACGGTCAGCGACGAGACGCTCGAATCGGTGTTCAGGTATCCTAGGCTCAACCGGACCAGCCCCGATCAAGGTGACTATCATTTTCGTTCCGAGATTCGTCGGACCGATAGAGCGCGTTCGCGACGGTGGACAACGGCCGGCTGGTTAAATGCGATTTCATTGACCGGCGGTTCAAAGGTTCACCGTGCCCGCGATAGCGATCGAACGTGAATCTCGAACGACGGTCCGCGTCGTTTCTTTTCCGCGTTTCATACCGTATTCGACGGATCGTTCCCGACGATCCCCGACGACGTGCACCCTTATTGCATTTGAACGATCGACGGAACAACCGGAGATCGCAGCGACGTATTTTATTTGTTACAGTAATATTTTTGTTTATAGTTGGCAAACAATAAACACGCCTCGTTCGTGAAAAATGTGTGTATTTTAATTGCGATGTAATATAACAGCTTTTAGATCGTTGGGTTTCATTGGAGAGCGCGACAGAGAGAGAGAGAGAGAGAGAGAGAGAGAGAGAACGAAAAAGAAAAGAATGCGTTACACGATGTAAGATCGCTGGGGGGCAAGATAGAGGAATTGTACGCAACGTAAATTTTACGTACGCAAATTTCAAAGATGCAAGGCTGAAATAAACATAAGAACGAGCTTACGTTCTGGCTACGCGACGCGACACGATAGACCCTCCTTCCACGAGTTTCAAACGCCCAGGCGCTGCTTCCTTTTGTTCTATCCGATAGAATTATTCCATCCACGTGCACTAGAGCGATCTACGGAGATCGTCGAATCGCATCGTATCGTTGACCGAACCTTAGATCGCGAAACGCGACGCGGACGCTCGCTCGAGATTCACGTTCGTAAGTTCGGCGATCGCGAGAAAGGCTCGGTCGTCTGATTTGGAAGCGTTTGTCTCCAGGTTCGTCCCAGGCGATCAATATGAACGGTAATTACAATTACCAAGCCGCGCAACAGGTGTTTTTTATAACCGGCGCATCGCTGGGAAGTAATTCGTTGTCGAACAAAGGGCCGAATGGCTGCGTGACCTTCCTCGAGAGGGACGATTACGTTCTGAAACCGGGCATAGGAGCGTACAAGCTGCACAAGCGCAAGATCCGGTGGAACCACGCTCGGAAGTCTTGCGTCGACGAAGGAGGTAATCGGAAGTTTCGCATTCCGCGAAAATAAAGAACCGTGTACGGCGGGGGAGGGCGGGGACGGTTTCTGTAAGGAGCTGGAGTGAACGAGGATTGTCCCATAGGTAATTTGGCGATTCTGAACAACGCGGAGGAGGAGAGATATCTCGCGGATTGGCTGCGAAAAGAGCGCGTGGACCGTGCCTTCTTAGGTGTCCACGATCAGTTCGAGGAGGGCGATTGGGTGACGTACACCGGGGAGTCGCTCGACAGCGTCGGCTTCGAGAAATGGGCCACCGAGCCGTGGCCGAACCAGCCCGACAATGCCGACGGTGTGCAGAATTGCGGGGTCCTCAACAAGGAAGGCGGAATGGACGACGTCCAGTGCTTCCATCTGCATCCCTATTTATGCGAGATTACTCTCTGCTAATCGTACCCGTATCCTTCCGTCGTTGCCGCTGAACGATCGTCGAGTCGCGAATTCCGTCGAAAAAGGTGGCTCGGTTGTCGCCGCAACCGCGCTATTGTTTCTCAATAAAGATCTCTGCACGCTCATTCTCCGTCTTCCATTATTTGCCGCGTCGGCGCGATACGCGCGAGCGAACGTCGTCGTCGAATTCCGACTGTTCGCGCGACGAGGACGAGCACCCTCGAGAGGTCGTCTCCTTCGGGCCAGTTTTAGCCTCTCGAGCGCATCTCGGGCCCAAAAGCGTTTCCCTAATAGTGCTAACAAATTTGTCCGAACGGTGTCCGCGTTCGGGCACTCGTTTTTCTCGTCGGAGCGTCGTCGTTCGACGTCGCTGGAACAACGGCGTAATTTTTCCTCGCCGACAGAGCGGGGCCCAGACTTTCGAACCACCGGATCCACTTGGAAATTGCTGCGACACGCGTCGCCCGAACGTGTCGAACGCTATCTTATCTTGACGTTCGAAGTCGCGACAACAAAACTCGTATATTTTCCCGCAGCGACCGGTATTTCCTGTATATTCGCTCGATTCGGCGGCGGAGAAAAACCATGTCGTTGTTCCGCGGTGTCACGATATCGCGACCTCCGCTTATCGCAACCAGGAAAGTCGTCTTTCCGAAGTTTCGCTACGAAGAAATCGTGCGACAACTCTTTCCCAGTACCGAGGAACGATCCAGCGGCAGCGAAGATCGCTAGAGCAGTCTCGGTTTCGATCGCGTTCCGCCAAATTTATCGAAACAGTCGGGGAATTCCCGGAGGAAATTGCGTTCGCCGATTCGGGGAACGGCGAGACAGGGCAGAAATTTCGGGATTCGAGGATCGTCGCGTCCGCGGTCGCGGAGACGGCGATGCTTGGTATCGTCGAACCGGGTTCTTGCAAAAAAACGACGGCTTCCTCCGCGGGAACGCCGCGAGGAGAATACGCGATCGCAATTATCGCTCGATAACGCGCGATTTAGCCAGCGTCTGCCGGTACGGCGACGATAAAGGTGGAAACGCGTCGATATCGCGTGCCAAAAAACGCGATCCGACGACGCGTTTCCAAACGAAATTCTCTCGCGGACGGCGGCGAAGCGAACGAAACGATCGAGCGCTTTATCGCGCGGTCCGCGACCCGTTTCTCGATCCGTTCGATCGAAATCGACTCCGACATCTTCCTTGGTCGTTCGAACGCTCGCTCAACGAGCATCGGTCGGTGGGGCGCGTCGGGTCGTCGGATTCAAGGTCGTCGGTCGTCGGAGAAGGAGTCGAAGGCGGCCGTTGCGGAATGCTGGATTTCCAGTTTGGTGGGATCGTTCCGCGGAAAGAAGCAACAACCGCAGCGGTAGAAGGGCGGTATCGATATTAAGACGAACAGGGGGCGTTGCACGGACGATTCCCCGTCGAGGCGGTCCGCGGTTTGCAGTGCTTCCACGACGGTGCATTCGAGCGAGTCGATCGTTACGGATCGCAGTGATCGCAGCGAACAACGCCGCATCGGCGTTCCCGTCGTCGTTTACCGCACCGCGCACGCACATAGAGGTATCTATCGACGCAGTTGTGTTCTCTAGAATTATTATGCACGATGAGTCACCGAACCTGGCGGCCTTTTTATCCTTCCTGCGGAAAACCGCGCGATCCGGACGAGTCAGCGATCGAAGACGCGCGGAACGCGCAACGAGAGCCGGTAGAAATCGCGCGATCGTTTCCTTAGCGTCGCGCGTGACTCGAGCCAAGTATCGTCGATCGACGAAATCGATTTCAAGATCAGCCGCGCTGAAAAGTCGTTCGTTCTTCCGAAGGTCGTCGGGTTCTTCTTTCCAGTTCGCGCGGCCGAGCTCGTTTCGGCGCGAGCCGAACGAACGAACGAACGAACTCGATTCTCGAGAACGCTGTTAAATTGTTTTTGTTTTTCTTTCCCTCGACATTTTCCTCGACAGATCGCTGGTGAATGTTTCGTGGCTGAGATGAACAAGGGCGTGCTAATTCTCCTCGCTCTCGCCGGCGTACCGTTTCAGTTGTCAAGTAAGTACCACCCAGTCGTCGAAATGGAGTTTCGAGTTGGTACACGACGCAGCGCGTAAGCGACGCCGCGAAATTTCAGGAGTTTTCCGTGAACTTCGCTGGGAAAACGCGTCGACGGAAAGCACGGGCGCGCGTATTCCAGGCCGAGGGTGCGGGATAGAATTGTTTGTTCGCGTTTCGCCTCTCGGAGGTTCGAGTATCGATCTGGAATCTTTGGTAGTCGAGACCGTTTCTCGAGATCTGCCGAGATTAATTTATCGAGATCGATCGACGATCGTTTCGAACGAATCCGAGAAGAAGATCTTTCCTCGCGACGTTGTTTCTCGGCATCTTGTAATTTCGCGGCATTATTTAATCAATTTAGATCGCGCGATCGCTCGACGTTGGAACAGGCACCGACGAATTTTCGTTTGCAGGCGAGGCGCGAGCCGACTCGGCGAAATGTCAGACCAGCTACGACGCTGAGACGCAGTTGTTTTACATAAACGGGCAAAAAATCGAGAACAACAATGCCGCGCGGCTGAAGGAGGGATACGTGGTCACGGCCGGCGTCGGCGCTCACAAGCTGTATCCGAGGAAGATCCCGTGGAACACCGCCCGCAAGGCTTGCATAAAGGACGGAGGTGAATTCAAGATCAATTTTCTCGATCGCGAGCTAATCTCTCGAGCTAATCCCCCTCTCTCGAGCGATTCTCTCGTACGATCGTTACGCTTCGCGTAATTCACCGCGATCGTCGCGGAAACGGTTCGCGCGTGTTCTAACGATCGCTGTCCGACAGGTCACCTGGCCATCGTGAACTCCATCGCCGAGGAAAGGGTTCTGGTGAACCTGCTGCAGTCGGCGAACATGGTCGAGGCGTGGGTGGGCATTCACGACCAGTACGAGGAAGGCGATTGGATCACCCTGACCGGCGAGTCGATCGAGAAGGCCGGCTACGACGTGTGGTCGACGTTGTGGCCGAACGAGCCGGACAATTTAGGCGGAAGCCAGAACTGCGGGGTGTTCAGGAAGGAGGGCGCATACGACGACGTGGTGTGCGTCCTGCACCATCCGTACATCTGCGAGATCGACGTCTACTAAGCGATTCGCAGGCGTCGCGCCGAATCGACGATCGATTCGCTCTCTAGCGCTAATATGTTGTATCAATGTGTCGTTCATTAAAGCCTCTGTCGGGACAGCTCGTTGTTTCTTTTCCGAACAGAGCTCCAACGTGTACAGCAACGTCTCTCGGATCGTGCAGAAAAATTGAGAATTTGGGAAGAGGAGATACGATTGTTCGCGCCTCGCGTAACCTTGACGTAATCTTGACGATTCGTGGATATAAAAACGAACCGCGAGTCTCGAACAGTCGTATCTCCTCTTGCAAAAATTGTCCATTTTTGTGGACAATCCGAGCGTCGATCGGAGAGACGTTACTCTATTTCGATACGGAAGTTGTGCGACCAGCAACGAGGAACGAACGATAATATTTTAATCGAAGCGAATAGGACGGAGGGATGCGATTGTATCGGCGCGTCCCAAAAGGGAGAGAACAAATTAATCCGTCGACGATGAATCGCGGAGAACGATCGCGCGTCGGCAGACTTTTCGCCGTTTCGCAACGAGTTCTCTGAATTTCTCGGATCCCGATCCGCGTCTCGGAGAAACGAAACGGACTCGAGAAACGGCGCAAGCCTCGCCTCGAACGGCGAATCGAAGCCGTCGGTAAAATGGGAAAAGAGTTAGGTGCAGGTCGGAGGGAAATTCGGCGTTTCGTCGGACATCGTCGTTCCGCCGTTCTCGATTCCGAGGTTTCCACGGCCGCGCGCGGGGTTCGCACGGTTCAAAGTCAACAGGGACGCTCGATTTTTGAAACGCGCGCATAATGCATGCGGATACGTAGGTGGTTGCCAATTTGCCGAGGGTTTTGCGTTCGGCGTCGCTGTTATCCCATCGGGAGCCGACATCGGCCGTCGTTCAGTAAAAATTGTCCGGCCCCGTGCCGCGGGAAAGCCGCAAAACCGACAGCACGAATTTCACCGAGTTCAGCAGTTCCGGGCCGGGGGACCTCTGAGAACCCCGAACGCTCGTGGATTTCGTGGATTTCGTGGATTCCGTGGATTTCCTGGATTTCGTTCTCGTTGGATTCTGTTCCGGGTCGATTCCTTTTTAAGAGGGCCAGCTTTTTCGTCCCTATCGGCTCCGCCGTACGTTTTTACGCCCCCGATACCCTCCCCGCGTGCCACCCCTCCTCCCCTTTTCCCGTTCCGTTTCCCTCGCCAACCTCCGTCGCGCTTTTTCTGTTTCACCGAATCGAACGTCGCGTTGTCCACGTGCTCTCCGCGCGCAGCTCGTACAATTTTTACGAGCACCGCGGCGCTCGATTCGCCGATATTTGTACAGGCATTCGATTATTTTAATGCAGAGGGAACGAGCCGCGCGTTTCGCAGCGGCGCCGGTAAATATTTCAAACGGCTCTTCGCAGATCCGATGGAATTTTTACGCTCGCGAGGGAAATTATTAAACCGTGCCAGGCAGAACTGGCAGAGTCGGCTCGCGGATGAAATTACCGTCGCCGTCGAACAATTTATTCGGAATTACTCGTTGCGTCCGTAACCGTGCGCCGTTCGTCCAGTTTGTAGCAATCTCGTAGGTGAACGATGGAGAAGCGGTGGCTAATCGAACTCGGTACCCAGCTGGTTCGTAAGTAACGCGAATTTCCTCTCGTATTTTTCGAAAGGTGAAACGGCGACGGGTTCTCTCTCGTATTTTCCCAAGTTTTCGTTGCTTATGCCATTGCTCGCGCCGGACGTATTTATAGCGTCCTCTATTTAGCGGAGAAGCGTGGGCCGATGATCGATACTCTGTGTATTACTTTGTACTTTTTTCGTTTTGTTTTTTATATACCACCTAACGCGCGACCCCGCTGCAAAGCATCGTCGAATCTGTCCTTTTTTCGGTGGAATAGAATGTGGGTCAATGATCGATACCTTTTTTCTTTTTTCTATTCACGGTCCCACGCGTCGCTCCGAAATGTTCATCGTATCTTCGCTTTTCGATGAAACAGAATATGGGACGGTGAATCGATACTTTCCATGATTTTTT